ACACACACACACACACACACACACACACACACACACACGCGAGACAGACAGACAGACAGACAGCCAGACGAGAGACGCCCCCGCATAGTTTCCGTCAGCCCGGTGACGTCTCCGCCTCTCAGCCCGTGTGCAGCGTGACGTTACCGGGCAGTAGTGGAGCCTCTCGCTGCGTCTTGTTGACGGTCCTCCAGGCTCAGTACTGAGAAGAGCCCGGGAGAGAGAGGACGACTCACGCAGAGACTCACACTCAGCGTTCAGGCAAGTGGTTTTTAAAATCCCGCTGAGCTTCTCCGTGGATGTTTTTAAACACTTTGTTGGTCGTTGACCTGAGCCGGAGACGAATTAACGATCGAGTTTGAATTGTTCAGTCGCGGTGGAGGGACGGAGAGAGGGGGAGAAGCTAACCTGGTGTAGCCTGCTGTATCGCTCTCTAGTCCGGGGGTTAGCCTGCTCTCAGTCCGCTCGGTTAGCCTGTTCTCTCGGTCACTGTGTCGGGTTAGCCTGCGGACTTTACCGCTCATGTACCAACCCATGAAGCCATGTGAGCCCGGGCCAGTCCCCGTCCCCTTTATCACGACTCCCACTGCGGAGGTGACCCGGGTTAAGTTAGCCTGCCTGTGCTCCGCGGAGCTGGGGCTAGCCTGGCTCATAGGCAGCCCACTACGCTGCTTGATAGCCGACTGTACGAGGGTACGCTGGGGGTAGCTAAGCTAGCTAGTAGCGCAATCAGCGCCGAATGTTAAAATACAAGAATTATTTTATTATTATTATTATTTAGCTTTTAATTTTTCCTACATGTCAAACCAAACCGTGGCGTTATCAAGGATTTAAAATGACCCCACACTCACTTGAGTTGGATCTAATGTGTTGTTTCGGGGGGATTTGAACGTTAAACGGGGCAACAACCGGCGGCTGCCGGTTAGAGAGCCTACCCGGCAGCCGCCGCTTGTTAACCCCGCCGTGCCCTCCTCAAATCGGCGTGTGAGTAGAGGCTCGGCCGCGGTGCGTTCCCCAGACCGGAGTGTAGACAGTGAATGTCATTATCAGCGCCGTCTGCATACCAGAGCCGAGGAGGCGAGCTGCAGTCTGGGGAGGAAGAGGAGGAGGAGGAGGGGGTCGTCGCTGGGGATGGAGCAGAGCTGGAGCTTTATTATTATTATCACCACATCATGCGCGGTGTCCTTGCACCAAAAAAAAGAGGAACCAAGAAGACATAAAGAAGAAATGTGTCTTTATAGCGCGATGAGCAACGCCTCAGCCTTGTTTTCCAGCAAACCGATGCGGGGCGTAGTAATTTCTGTCAGAAATAAACGGATCCGATTGGAGGTTTTCAGCCAAACCCTTGATAATACACCGGGCAGGATGGGGGGGGAGAACCCTCCCTGCAGATCTTTATGTATCACTCGCTGCTGAATCTGATTTTGCAGTGTTGTTGCTGCTTTTTTTGTTTTATTTTATTATCGTTATTCACGGTGATATTTTCCATTGAATCGCCCACTAACATCAACCCGTACCGGAATCGAGCTCTCACTTTCCCCCGCAGCAGCATCATCATTTCAGTCGGTGGAAAAAAAAAATAAAAAAAAACCCGACGGGATGCTGAAATCTGCAAAATCGTGCAAATCCACTCACTTTGCTCATTTAACCCGATGTGCATCTGTTTAAACCCTCCTTGCTTATTCGAAATAACCATTTAGTGCACATTTATTTTCATCAAATGCTTTTCACGACACCCTGAAACGCAAACGCTCCAGTAAATGCTGCATCTTGTTGCCGAAGTCAATTATCCGCCGTGTCTCGGCGTCATATTGCAGCAGTGGCCACCATCAACTCCATGGCGTTTTAAATCTAAAAGGGGGGGAAACCAGTTAAAGTGTTGTTTACCGTAATAGGGTAGATTTAGTCATTCCGCAGTAAAGCCCGATAATAATAAAAAGGGAAAACACTCCTTTCCACGCTGCTCGGTGTCCAGCTGTGAGGGGACTGAGAGAAGGGGACGACTGCTGTTAACGCTTTTATCAATTGTTTTTCACCGAGTTGATGGGGTCAGCGTGGGGTAAGCAGACCTAGGAGAAGGCACAATATGGCTGGGAAGGTTACTTTCATTTGCAAAGTGAAATGTTTTTGCACCATTGTGATCAGCCTTACATTAACAATGTAATGGGAGAGAGGCAGGGTGGTGGTGGTGGGGGATTTGGCTCAGGTTGTTATGTCTGGTTTCGCTTGCTAAAATTCTCACTTTGAGCTAGAAAGTTTGTTTCAAAACCTGGATGCAAATTTCCCTTTGGGTTCAATTACAAGGGCTGAAGTGTTTGTGTGAAGTATGGTAATGGCCATTTGGTTTAGTGGTCCATGCAAACAGCCATTGACCTCTTCAGCCCCCAACCAGGACAGCAGCCATAAAGCATTTAAAGTCCTTATGGGTGTTTCATGCTCCTCAATCATTTTGTTTTCCGAGAACATTTTTGGTTTGTTTATTCCTGTGCAGGAAAGAACTTCATTAGTTATAGTTTGGATAATGAATTCATCTTTTTTTTTCTGTGTTTTTCATGTGCAGGACACGGATCAGAACTTGGCAAACTTCAGTCACCAACATGCATGTGTCTCTCAACCAGAAGATTTGTGTCATTTGAAAAGACTTAGGGAGGAGGAAAAAATACTCAGAGGAATACAAGAACTCAGTCAGCTGACAGAAACAACAGTAACCCAGTGCTTAGACATGGCCAGCACCCAGACCAGTTTGAAAACCCCTTTCAAAGACTTGACCTCATTCAAGGGCAACATGAAACGGCTTTACAGAGAGCGGCTGGAAGACGCACCCATCAAGAAGCGAGTAATGGCGGAGATCAACCTGAAGCGTCGCAGCTCGGATTCCCTCCCCAAAACCCCCAAGGTGAAGAGGGAGCAGACCGAGGATCTGTACCACGACTCTGACATGGATTTCGCGGGCCAGGCTGAATTGCATGTGGTGGGCTCTGCTAAAGCCCTGGACCTGAGCCCTGGGCTCAAACACACACTAGCCCAGTTCACCCTCAGCAGCCAGAGCTCCCTTGGGGGCCCAGCTGCCTTCTCAGCCCGTACCGGCCACGAGCATTCCCAATCCGGCATGCCCCCTCTGCCCTCCCCTCCTGTCCTGGGAGGGGGCCCTCTGCTGGTTCCCTGTGACAGCTCCACTGAACTCACCCACTCACTGTTGGAAGGGGAGTCCATCTCCTGCTTCGTCGTCGGGGGAGAGAAGCGGCTCTGTCTGCCCCAGGTGCTCAACTCTGTGCTCCGCGACTTCTCGCTGCAGCAGATCAACACTGTGTGCGATGAGCTCTACGTCTATTGCTCACGTTGTGATGCCGAGCAGCTGCACATCCTTAAAGTGTTGGGCATTCTGCCGTTCAACGCACCTTCCTGTGGCCTCATTACACTGACGGATGCACAGCGGTTGTGCAACGCTTTGCTGCGCCCTGGAGCGGCCTTGCCTGCCGACCCCAGTGGCAAGCTGTCGGCCCAGGGCCTGCTGAAGGAGAGTGAAGCCAGCTTCCAGGTGGAGCACCAATGTCTGGGGAAGTGCCAGGGTCTCTTCGTGCCCCAGTTCTACACCCAGCCTGAGGCGCCCTGCATCCAGTGTGTTGAGTGCCAGTTGCTTTTTTCCCCGCAGAAGTTTGTCATGCATTCACACAAGTCACCTGATAAGAGGACCTGCCACTGGGGCTTTGATTCAGCCAAGTGGCCCTGCTACCTACAGCTTGCCCGGAAGTACCAGGGAACATCCGAGGAACCCAAGCTCAAGCAGCTCCTTGATGAGGTCAAAGAAAAGTTCCACTACCAGCTCAAGAGGTCACTAGACAAAGTAAGTACACTATAGAATGATACCTTTTGTCTTTGCATGTTTGCATGCAATACAATTTTATTCATCCTCACTCTGCTCTGGAACCCTATTCAAATTGTATTAGTTAGATAATGTCTTAAAGTCTCCATAGCTGGTTGGCTACTTCACCCCTTTTCCATTATTCTTCGTGTTCAGCATGTTTGACTGGTCTAATGTTGGGCTGGTGTTTTCTTAAACCATCGTTGACCCAGTATCGGGGGCAGAGGACAGGTGGTGCCATTTTCTCTGGCCAGGTCTGATCAGATGAGGTTGAGCCAGCTGGTCACAGCTGAAGGGGACGTGCATCATTTGTCCCCTTAGGTCACCTGGAGGTCACTGGGAATGTCACTGAACAAAAGGCCAATATATGAGGCTCAGGATGACACAGTTCAACTCCTGTGTGAATTACATGTTTTAACCGACCAAAAAAATAAAACAAATATTCTGGAAGAAGAAAATTCATTGCACATTTCCACATAGGTTGAGAAACTGGAAAGGAAATGCGGTGCAGACTAAAGATAATGTTGGTTGGTAACCATTTATATACTGTTTCTTGCTAAATGGAAAGTAAAATTGCTCCATTGCATTTCTTGTATTTTTTTACTGAAAACCAGAATACTGCAGTCTTCCACAGAGGACAATTTTTCAGATGATCCTTATTCTTGCTGTGTTGAAAAAAAGAGCAGCATGCTTATTGAGAAGTCAGCATTCAGCGAGGAAAGAAAAACTTTCCCTTCCATTGACTGTTTTGTGTCTCATGACGTGTGTGACCACTTAATGTTTTTTAGGTGAAACTGGGGTTGTGTTTTGTCTGATTGGTGTGGTTTGTTCACAATCAAATCACCAGCTCAGATTGATTTTTAGTCAGGTTGAAAAAGGAGGCGCTTAAACCCACCAGCTATAATTTTTACCACCATTAGTGGCAATATTAATTTCTATGGTAGAGAAGGTGGCAGACTAAGTGAGACTGTGGAGTAGAAAGACTGCAGTGTGTTTTGTGTCTTCGTTGAGGAAATGCTTTTTTTTTCTTGTCTGGTTAACTTGGTGTGTGAATGTGCTGGAAACAACATCTGGTGTCTCGCCGAGCGTCCCAGCCGCATTGCTGTCCCGCCTCTTGCCAATTGTCAACCTCCTCTTTCTCCTGCCTCGGTTTAAGCTATTTAACTTGAGAGACGTAGACTCTCTGTCACAGACATTTTAATACCACAGAGGAAACACAGGTACAAAGAAACATATGCTCAAGGTGGATGACGAGTCCCACTATCTCTGTGTGTATGTGTGAGACATTGCCAACCTCAGTATGTGCAATGAGCTGCTATGTGGTGGTTCGTATGACACATTGTCTTTCTCACACTTTGCCAGGTTCTCTAGAGCCTCTGTCTCACCACAGTCTCAGGTGCTGTCTTCTCAGTTTGCAGGTGCTATGGGGCTGATTTCTCAGTCACTGTTTCATTTCTCTTTTTGTTGTCACTCTTTGAAAAAAAATCTTGCACCTTGTTAGTAGGGACTACATTTTATTTTATTCTGTTACTTGTTCGGGTTTGGATTGACCTAAAATGGTGTGAAATCATATGCAACAGCAAAGTCCCTGTAGACAGACATACAAAGGCACAAATGGGTCAATTCCTGGAAAGACAGTTGCCTGTGAGTCTGCAGGAAGCAGGTGAATGTTGGCATCAGAGGAGGATGCCACTCTACTACCCCCACTGGAGCGGATGTTTGGGTGTGTGAAAGATCATTGACCAGAAAACGAAGTGACCTGGCAGTGTCCCGCTTCCTTAAACATGAGGGTTCCCTTCCATTACAAACCACTCTCTGTTTATCTGTGTGTATTTGTGTGATCCAAGTGTGTGTTAAAATGAACAGGAAGTGAGGCAGACGGACATGTCTCTCACCCTGAACATCCTACAGACTCAGTCAAGCTGCCTCCACTGCACTGGCTGTGTGACTCATACTTTCCACATCCCAGTGGATGTTAGTGGAAAGCCAGCCAGGCAACTTATAGTCACACATGCTTTTTCAAAAGACTGCTCACCTCGGTGTGTTGGTCTAACCCAGAATGCAGACCCTTTTCCCAGTGGCCCTTATTTACACACGGTGTCAGTGTGCACATTTACAAGCAGTTCTTAGTTTTAATGGAGAGCTCTGAGACCTCTAGAAGAGACGAGACGCAAACAAGTGGAGCTTTCTGGAAGTTGTTTTTCCCACTTTCTCCAATGGCTACTAGTCCCATATCCTGTAACAAGTGTTTGGTTTGAGAAGGTGCAGTTAAAATCTCCAGGGCTTGCTCTCTATAAATGGCGCTTTGTTCCCTGAGGCACGGCTTCCATGTCTACTGAACCCTGTTGTGTAAATACAGACAGAAGCCATCGACAGACAGCAACAAGCTGTAGCCTTGCTGTATCTCAAGAATTACCTAAGTGTCTGACGGACAATAAGTTCTTATGTCTTCAGGGGTTGTGACAGACACTTGTACTTTCCTCAGTGACACGATTATGTGTCCTCATTTTACCAAACAAGACAGGAAGTAGCAAAGTTTCCAATCTGATGATCATCCCCGCCACCTTGTGAAATATCTGTGTTGCTCAAGGGGCATTTTGTTATTTGGGTTACATGTCAGGTTACATCAGACAGCAGAACAGTGTGTTACCAAAAATCTGGTAATATGTTCATATTGAGTCAAGTAATGTTCACAATACAAAGACACACATTTTACTGTTCTAAATATAAATAATTACACAACTTTAGAACTGTTGGTGTCTCTTGCTTTTATTGACTGGAATTATAAACATTTCCTGAACTGCATGTCTATTTCCAAGTAAGAACAAATAAACTGATACACAAACTGATATTTTAGGAATGTTTGCGAACCCTGGCGAGCATAACCTCATGGGCGAGCAACATAGTGAACATAGCTGTGTGCTGCGTGTTTGCCTCAGCCTTGTTTGTAGCGTTTTTCTGGCCCAGAGTCAGAAGTGTCAGACGGAGAGAACAGCCTTCCTCTGTCTGACTCCCCGCCTGGGCTGACACAGTGGCTGCGGCACAGACGGCAGACAGCTGCATCTCTCTGACTTCCTCTATTTGCTATTTGAAAACCAGTGACTTCATTACCGCAGACCAGTGCAGCTGCACTCTCTGGCTGTCTCCTGGGCTGTCTGCTCTGTCTGTCTGTCTGCTTGTCAGTCATTCTCTTGGGCTACATCTAATTGGATTTTGGCAGACATGCTAATCGTTCACTGTGCTGCCTTGGCTATCTCTTCCTCCTACCTCTCCTTCTATCTTGACGTCAATCAACCATCTGCCTGCTTCTCGGGGGTTCATGTCCTCACACATCTTGACTTATGGCTTTCAGTCCGCTTCTCACCCATCATCATTTCTTTCTTTTAAACCAGACAGTTCTGCTGTTACCCACATGTGTCTGTAAATGGTCAGTATCCCCTGGGCCCCAATCAGTGGACAGTAACAAAATAAGCAGCCAAATGACCCGATAAGTCGATCGTTACATAAGCAAGAAGACCACTTGTGTGCGTCTGAAAGGCGGATGAGAGGAAAGCCAGTGGCTATTGATCGGGTCTCCAACCTTGATGGATGTGGCGAGTTGCTGGGTGACACAGACATTGAATAGAGGAGGAGATGGACAGAGGCAGGGAGGCAAGGAGAAAAGGAAAACGAGTGAAATGAGGAGACTCATTGCAGTGGCTGCTGCCGGTGTTGCATAAGTTCCTATCTGTGTTAAGACGTGTGCATCCGTCTCCCAAGTTAACCTGACCTCTGCTTCTGCTGTTGGCTGGCTTCATTTTTGGAACTCAGACAGGCAGCCAAACAGAAGTAGTGTCAGACAGACGCAAAAAAGGTATGTGTGGTCAGAAAAAATATCACCTCTTGAGCAAATATAGTCAGAGATGTAAAGAGTATGAAAGTAAGAAGATGATAGAGTGAGGCCAGGACAGGTGGGTCCAACTGCTGTTGCCGTCACACACTACTATACATTTTGGTTGTCTTCCCTGACACTGGCCACGTCAGGGAGGTTGTTCCAGGGGGCTTGGGGCTCAGCTCTTCTTTCCCCGAGTTGAAAATTAACCTACCCAAGACCTGAGCTGAACCACAACCCGGAACAGCCCTCTTGGTTGGCCAATCACATGCCGGTGAGCTCGCATTTCCCCGGCCCTCTCCTTTGCCCCACACCCCACACCAAGACACTCATACACATATCTCTATGTCTGGCTGTGCATTTTCCAAAGAGCATTTATCCACCTCTGCTGAACACACACAGGAACGTTTTTGAACGCTGGCCTAGAGTAACCTACATCGTGCCTGTATATAGTTTGGAATGGACAACTGTCTATGTTCCTTGTACACTACATGCTCCGCCCTGGCCAGTGTTTGCTGCCTGTTGTAAAGGGCTAAATGGGGCCCCGCAAGTGGGAGGTGCTGAGCCGAGGGGCCTCCAGTATGTCACCATTAGGTCATTGCCAGTATCACAGCTCCATAAAAGCACTGCAGCTAACTGGAGGAACACCAAATTCATTACTTCTCTGTCTTGACCACTTTAATTGGTTGTACACCAGCTCACAGCTTTTCCTGTTCTCTACAACCCCACAGTTAAAAAAAAATATCATTGGTTGGCTAGTGATAATTCCCCACCCTGGCAGCAGCTTGTTATTTTTGACTGTTTCCCTGACTTGGGCTTCCCACCTCACCACCAGAAGAAGATAATGTGCTGCTGTGTGTATCTGATGTGTGGTAGCAGATACAGTGGAGTCTGTGCAATGTCTGCCAGCAGTCTCGTAGACTAAACAAACTGGCAAAGCCCCTCCCAGACAAATGCCCCATGGGCTTTAAAATGGCTATTTGCCAGTTACAACAACTCTCAACAACCATCAGTCCTCACACAGCTCACGTAGAGCTAACGTTTACTGAAATAAATCTAACCTCAGCATAACCTCATGAGTTTAAAGAAAGAGTAGGAATGTCAAAGAGAG